AAGCATATAAATTTAGAAAGATGGAATTCGTCATTTAATTAAATGTTAAGGCGTGGTCATAGGGACATAGGTACAGTTCGCATGGCATCTTCAACTGTTCAAGGCGAGGGCAGATCTAGTACGATGCGTGGGCACAAATTTCATAGCACATATCTTACCGATAATAATAACGCCAGCAAGAACACCAAATACAATGCCTACGATTGCGCCAGGTGACAAATCCTCAAATTCTTCTTCCTCTTCTTTTTCGACATTTCGAGTTTGGTTCTCGGCAGCTCCACAGGAGAGTGGAAGGATAAGCCAGATGGCACTCAAAATCGCTAGAGTGTCAATTAATATCCTCCGACCAAGGGACATAATGTGCATACATGAGTAAGCATACACACGCGTGATCGAGAGCAGGTGCGGTAATCAAGAATCTGCAATTAAATTAACAAAAGCAGTTAGTATTACAAGCAAGCCATGTGTTTCTAATCCCTTGGCGTGAGAACGGCTAGGTTTTACTAAAAGGCTCGCGGAAAATGCATTCCTTTCTAACAGCATATTAGTCTTATCTTAAACCAATCATGGGATTAACTATCACTTGTATTGCATTATTTACGGCGCGTTACAAGACTTGCAATGCATTTTGGGACAAAATGTTTGTATGATGTATTATTGGGAAATATGTGGAAGCTAGCTTTCGCTGACTAGAACTCCAATCGGAGTTTAGGGTAGCTAGCTGATTGGCACATTGTATAATGTTTTGAGTAGCAAACCAATGCACGAGCTAAATTTTCGGGTTTTACTCAATAAATTAATAAATATTCGAACAACTTGAAAAGATATCACAGAATTAAGAGAGACGTGCAATAAAGGTAGTACTACATGTTACTAAATTATAGGCTAGGAGCTGTTTGACGCTCAAAAACGGTTCATTTATAACTACAATAATAAATCGTTCAAAGTTTAATTGTACTTATAAATTCGGGATCCACTGTGAAGACATACTTGACAGAATCCAGTTCAGGTAACGTGCAATTATTAGAAATACGGCGTTGTCAAAAGCAATATTTGAAAAGAAAGCCCACCGTTAAAGCGGACATCAACCTTGAAAACAAACTAAAACTTCGCAATTCCCGCCAAGGGCTGGGCTGTTCATTGGCTAGCATGCCAAAAGTTTCGTGTCTACTCTGACGCTTATTGGCTCGTATGCCGATCATTTAGTCCGTGACCTGGAATTGCTTTTAGGATTGACTATTCCGGTTTACAATAACTTTAAGCACAGGTTACGGCCGCTGCGCTCCAAAAGATCGTCTGCGTGCCATATCACATGACGGACAAACGGCTGCGGCCTGGGCGTGAATAATTTTATATTGATGACAGATTTGGATTTCATTAATCACACTCTATCTCGGGACAACTGCAGGGCACTAAAGCGCCTGGTGCGGATGACATTTCAGTGAAACTTCTGACTGAGCTCGCAGAACAAGAAATGACCTTGAGGACTCTATTGATTGAACCAGATTTTTACAGTCAATATGAAGTCGGAAAAAGTTGTTGTAACATAACACACACGTGAGTGAGTTTTCCCAGAGCAATGCAAAATATT